ACAAGGGAATACCTTAAAATGATTGTGTGTTTATAAAGTTTTCAGAGGCTGGCAAGTTAGTTTGTGTAACAGTTGGTATATCAAAGTAATTAAGGAGATAAATACAATAGAGAACATTACATTTTAGAAGTGCTATATTAAGACATATATAATTAAAGTGAAGATTTAGAAGATCTTAGTAAGGAAATTATAGGATTACAGCATTTATTAATCTCACAGAATTTTTTATATTAAATGCAGGAAAAACTATAAAGGATACTACATAACTTCGGGAGCTGAAATATAAATACCCTTGCAGTTTGTAATTAAATTATAGGATCGTATTGAAAATCGATCATCACTAGGGTTAAAATAATCTATATTTATAAATATTTGTATATAAACATTTTTATAGACAAATCAAAGTTTACAAATCTCATAACTAAGCCAAAAAAGCATCAATTGCAATTCGGAAAGCTGTTCTGTGCTAGTTTTTAATAGGTTAATAAATCTGCACACTTAAAATACAATTTTCGGAAATGATTCCTTCACTTTATTTCAAGCTTTTGACTGAAATAGGAATACTTTCAAAATAGAGAATTTTATTTAACCAACATAGAGTTTTCCACCCTTCAAGCAATTACATTTCGGTGAATCTCTGAAATGCAAATTATAATTATATTTCAGTCTTAAATTAGCTAATTAAATATTTAACCATTTCTGGTGAATAATAAATAAACCATAGCCGCATTTATATTTTATAATTGCTGTTAAAACCCACAAACCCACCTTTAAAAACAGCAAATTAGTTAATTAAAATTGTATAGGGTAATCATAAATATAAAGTGGCTTTTAATTTATATTTTTCCCATTAAAAACTCAAAATTTCTACAGCATCTATAGTTGCCTCTCACAGTTAAACATAAATATATTTCTGTTGCTCTGAAATATGCAAATCATTTAAACAATTAACCAACCCGTCTGGCCAACTGATTCAATTGAACTCGGCAGACTGATCAACCGAGAACCCTTTTGACCCCTGGTTTCAGTAGTTTAAAGTTAAGTTCATTGCTCGCTGGTTGTTACAGCTTGCTTTTTTGTTGTTTTGTTTTTGTTGCTTCCCTGTTTTGTATTTTTTTTACATTCCTCCCAACAATTATGCATTATTTACAAAAGTTAATTGCCGACGCGCAACAGCATTGTTCGACAAGGACCACGCCCCCCTTTGGAGGAGGGCAATTAACAACATTATTGACTCTGTTCAGCAGATTGGTTGAAAAGAGAGTGCTGGAGGGAAAATGGGGAAATTGGGTAAAATGGGAGTACCCGCAGCGGCACTTTGAAATGCTAATGAAATTGCCTTTTAAAGAGGAGATGTACATATATATACATATATACATCAGAAGCAGCTGAAAAATGTCCAAGCAGCAGTCCTGCGGCCCTTCTTTCTCTTTTTTTCCTGCTCTTAATTGATAAATTGATTAAATTGCAGAAAAGCCTTAATTGCGCATGACCACATCCCAGTCACACACACACACTCTTGAAATTTAACATTTAATTTGACGGCTACTCGCTTTTCCCTGTGCTGTGGAAATTGCATTTCACATTTAGCATTTTCATTGTCCCCCCGAAAAGCTCTCCGCTAATGCGATGTATTTTGTCAGCATTTGAAGTGTCACATCAGCTCCTAGTTTCAATTGGATTTGGCTTTGTCTGCTTCCTAGTCCTTTTTGGGCCAATTTGAAGGATAAATTACTGATTTCGTCTATTGTCTGCCAAGGCTAGAGTTGGTTACACTTTGGTCAGCAAAAGGTTTGAGTTAGGACTTATTTCGGGTAAAGCTGATTTTGTAGTTACACAGAGAAAGGTTTTTGGGAAAAGTAAATATAAGTTATATACATTTTATTAAGGGAACATCTTAAAAAAGTCCATTATAATTATTTTAGAAGAGTGAAATCTTGCCGAAAATTCATATTTCACACTTTTCGTAGCAGAACCCTATTTATATATTTGTTATTCTAATGTTAAATTTATATATATTCTATTTTATATTGTTGTCTTCTCCCTTATATATTGTTTACATCTCGGATTTCCTATATATTTCCTAGCTTCCTTATTTCCTCCTTAAAAACTAACCCATCTTAAGGACCAAACAAAACTTATCGCATAAAGCGTTGGAAAATTCCTCAGCCCTAACCATTTGATTACACACTTTGCTCGTCATAATCATCGAACATATCCTTTTCCGATCCTGTTTTATGGTCTATCTCTATGCCTGGCAAATCCTTTGCCAGCTCAACACTTTCAAAGTTTTTGGGCACTTTTTGGGTGTGTTTTTTTTAGTACCCGTTAAGTCCGTAGAAGCAAATTCCTTGTGCCCAGCGGCGTAATAGGTTTATCTCTATCTCTTTCTATCAAAAATTGGTTCGAAACCGTGACATGTGTCTCCATCTCTTTCTGCAGATCCTTGCAAAAATTTATTGCATTTACTGGATGAAGTTCTAGCCGACTTTTTCTTTCATTCTCCTGTCCTTTTCCTTTGGTGGTTTTGCTTTGATTTAATTTTCCCACTGTTTCCATCTCTCTCTGCTGATTTTCAATCCGTCTCTTTCTGTGGGAGCTCCTTGCAATTTGCGAGCTTTGTTCAATTGGCTTTTCTGTTGTCCTGCCAATGTCCGAGTGGGTTCGAGAGGGGTTTGAGTTCCGTGTTCTCGCCTTGTCCTGTCACTCATGCGTCAGCGGTATTTGTGTTTTGGGTGTTGGCTTCTAAATCACTCGGGGGGGTTCCCAAAACGTAAAGAACTTTTTTAAGTTTTGTGTACCGAGACCTATGGATTTTCCCTGGGTTTTCCACGAACTTGTATCCTAAGAAAAGAGGAGCCTTGTGCTTGCAGTTAGCTAAATAAAGGATAAATAACAAAATACATGCAAAAATATCAATCAGAATTGCATATTTTTTGCTTATTTCAATAATGGCCACATTTTTCTTGATCAAAATATAGTTCGATAATATTTTAACCACATCTGTTACACATACCCTCGATTCTCCTTGAAAGAAATTCAGCCAACTCCCTTTTGGTTTGTAGTTTATGTTCAACATATTTTATTGATTACATTTCCAACTCCAACTCCAACTCTGACCACTTTTCCGGCGTGTTTTGGCACGACTTTATGAGATTTTCTCTGCTGCCTTGTAAGCTTTCAAAAGAGAGAATCCGTGATGATTTTTGGGGGCGCATTTCGCATTGCAATCTGGGTCCTCAGTTGACTTGGCAAATAAATTGCTTATTTGTAGCGACAATTTGCGGTAATTTGTGATTTGTGGTGGTGACATCATCCTTTGTGTTGAGGGTGGAACATATTACTGCTTCCCCCTTGGGTTGCATATTTACAGAGGCTATTAATTAAACATATTTGCCGCTTTGACGGGTCGAATATGGCTTGCCACAGTTTGTTTGGTCTGCTGCCAGATGATGATGACCATTAGTTTGAGTGAAGGGAATATGCCAAAAATATATATATATATATTAAGAAATTGGTTGGAGAAATGCGGGAGTCCTGGGAGAGGATATGGCGCCAGCCTCTAACTCACTCTGCTTGATTACAATTTATCGAGTGACTTTTGCCAGGGGAAAATCTTTCGCTCTTCTTTCACGTTACTTCCTTTCCTTTTTTTTGCTATGCCTCTGCCACGCCCACTTGTATGCATATCGTTAGCAAATTGCAGGCTCACCAGGACACCCGAAAAAAGGATTTGCATGTGTGTGTGTGCGCGGGTTACGGAGGTAAGCTAATATCCAACCAATTTCCGTTTGGCTCTTTTCGCGTTTTTTTTCGGTGGAAGGATACAAACCAGGTAAAGTCCTGGCCTTCTGCTGGTTCTGCCTTTTGTGTTTCCGTTTTGGAAATTGGAAGACCAACGCCACGAACCGCCTCTCCAGTGTCCTTTCGTGATTTCCCCCTCGTTTTTAGCCAGGTCCTTTTCGCTGCTGCTGCCATATAAATTTGTACAAGAGCTTAGGCCAATTTTTTTCGTTGCTGCCTTTTGTTTGTTCGTCGTTGTCGCTGCCTCATTTGCATATTCGGCACATTCGGAATACCCTTTCGAAATGTTTACTCGAACACCCTCGAAAAACCCCTGACCATCCTTTAAACTTCTTCCTTTCTTTATTGGAGCCAATGTTTGTAAATATTTTCGGGGGCTTAGCCGTGTTTAAAGGATTTTATTTAGAGGAAATGTGAGAGAAATATGATTAAAATTAAGGGGGACACTGTCGGGTTATTTTATTTAAAAGTATAAAGAAATTTTTTATAGATTTTAAATAAATGAATCTAATTTGACATACAAACTTAGATAAGAATGTGTTAAATAATCCTATATATTTGCATATTTCATTTTCTGCGAATTCCTAAAGCTGCTGTTAAGAACACTATACTTTATAGAACCTGTAAAATCAGCTTCTAATATTTTCTTTCCATAAATATTATTATATCCAATTATCTTTAGATACTAATCACATTTCAAATATTTTTCTTGTGTCTTCAAAATTAATTTCATAAGCTGACCATTCTGGTTTTAAGTTTTCCCTAAGGGGAAAATGTAAACATTTCTATTCAAAAGTCAGAGGCTGCAAGAGAGGCTGAGTGGGAGGAACCACAATTCTGCGGTTTCTCAGCCGCAGGCCACAAGGAGCTTGGCATATTGACCCGTAAAAAGGGGGCGTGTGCTGACCAGTAGGTAGGCGTTGATTGGCATCCGAAAAACCAAACCTTTTCCTTTTGCTCTTACTAAACTGTCAAAGCCAGTGGCTTGAAGGGGCCGGGAAAACTGTAAAGTGAAGTTGGGTGGGAAAACGGAAAACAGAAACTCAAGTTGACTGTGGCAGCCACTTGAGCGTTTATGGATATTGACATCTCAATGGTTGGTCATGTAATTTAATTAGGGGCAGAGTTTTCCCCTGAAGAGAGAGAGAGAGAGAGAGAACTTGAACTAAACTGAATTTTCCCTTTTGTGTTTGCAGCCATTTCCCGCGAAGATGGCGATGAATCGACGCACCACCATCACCATCATCATCACCATCGAGGAGGACATGGCGGGCATCATAACCACGGTAACAAAGTTCCATACAACGGCTACAATTCGGAGGAATACTTGGACCGTCTCGAACCGAATGGCAATATACCCGCTGACAAGACAAATTGCAGATATGGAGGTGAGTTTTTATTAATTTAAAACTATAAGGAAGTTATAGAAATAATCTCATACTAAACTAAACCAATTGTAGAGCTTTAAAATTGATTTAAATAATATATTTGGCAAGAGCAAGGCAAAGACGCGAATAGTAACCATACTAAATAATAAAAATATATCAAAATTACTTGAAATATCTAGAAATTCTTTTAAATTTTAGTATTCTATTAAACTTCAAGTTCTGCTTTAGTTTTCTCCTTTGAATTTTCGCACAATTTAAGCCCCCCAAAAAGACTCATTCATAAGGCTTTTGCGTAATTTATCGCCCGCTTGTGCTATAATCTCTCATTTAAGCTGCCCTCCTCCGCTGGCAGAACTAATTTAATGATAAGATGCCAGCAGCTTCAACAGCATCTCCATCTCCATCTCTCCGATTTTTCCTGGGGACTGACTACTGGCAATAATTTATGCCTCCATCTTGTGTGAGCAGCGTGTCTAATTATGGAAGCAAGTTACATTTTCCGAGCTTTTCCCCTGTCTCCTAGTGCATCTGGGGAATTGCCTTGCCTTCGATCTAGCATATTTTTGTGCACTTAGCGAAATAAATTATAATGAAACTAATAATATAATATAAATTCAATTGAATTTATGATATTTAACAGTTTAGAAAATGGTTATAAATATTAATTTAAGGGATTATATACCCTTGTTGTTTTAGAAAATGTTCACGGTCTTTAATTCCATATTTTTATGACAATTTTTAAAACAAATTAAATTTTAAAAAACTCATAACTTAGCCAAAAAAAGCATTAATTTCAATTCGGAAAGCTGTTCTATGCTAGTTTTTACTCGATTAACAAATCTGCATACTGAGTTTTGAAAAATTCAATATTTTCTCAAATTTTTACAATTCTAATGATGTAACCCCTTATAATTTTTTCAAATGTTGAAAAAAATTTCAAAAATTTATTTTTTTCCCAGACATGTCTTGATCGATTCTCCTGTTGATTCTGATCAATAATATATATAATTTATATGGTCGGAAATGACTCCTTTACAAATTAGAAGCTTCTGATTAAAATTGTAATATCCTGCAAGGGTACAAAAAGTAATTCAATTTAAGGGGACTTTTATTTATTTAGAATATTTAAAACCCTTTTATAATATTATTTAGGTAGCTTTCTCTTATAAATTTCCCAGCTTTCCTCCTGTGTACTCTCCTTCTCCTCTGTAATTTATCAAATTTTTGTCTCATTTAGCTAATGCAAACAAGTTTTCTTTTCTTTTCTGCTGCTCTGTTCCTTTTCGCCATTTGAGCTTATCTTTGGGTGAAAATTTCCCCGATAAGCGTGCTTCTCTGTCATCATTTTCCTAGCCTCTGTACTTGCTTGCTTTCTGTTTTCTCTCATAATTGTAAATTGCAATTTTATGCAAACAATGGAAGAGATTTCAAAGAAGGAGTAGATTCTAGAGCCCGAGGTAGCACAAAACTCGTTGACACTGTCGCCGATGATGATAAGCCTGCGAAATGTAATGGCTTCATTTGTTGCTCCTTGAATCTGTTGCTTTGCTCCCTGTTATTATTGTCCTTGCAAAGCGGGGGAAGGCACTCAACTCGAATGCTCCCTACGAATACGAATAATATTCCATTGTCTTGCCAATGTCTAGGCAATGTTTCGGAATCGGGCCATAAAACAACGGAAATGAAAATATTAACAAGCGAGTGCACAGGCAACAGCAAAAGCAACAGCAACAATAACAACTGGCGGAATTATTCATAACCAAATGGAAATTGTGCATGCTCCATATATCTTTCCCGGGGTTTTAAACTCACTGCCAATGCCATTATCGTTTTTCTGCCGTGGAAAGGACCTTTCTACGACTTTTCCCTCCCTCCCTCTGGTATTTCCTTGTTCTTTGCCGTCTGCTGACATTGAAAATTCCTTGGCTAGGTGGCATTTTTGCTGTTTGTTAGTTTCACCTTGGAATATTGTGGAGCCAAGTGGTTAAACAATTCCAATGAAAAGGGAAAATGCATATTGTGGAGCCAAGTGGTTAAACAATTCCTATGAAAAGGGAAAATGCATTTTCGAGGGCAGGGAAAGTGTTTACAGGCTCTGCCCTGACACGAATGTTGTTAGTTGTCAAGTATTTCACCGAGTTGGTAAACAATTTTAAACGATTTTCCCAAAGCGTCAGCCAGCAGTGTGTATATAATTTAATACTGTTTTTGGTTAGGTGTAATTGTGTAAGGATTAAGTACTGAAAAGTGCAATAGTGTCCTTAGAATTGCATTTCAGGCATGGTTTTAATTGAAAGACCTATACTTTTTGCTTGTAATGGGTTTAAAGAGGTATTATTAAAATATTTTAATAACTCATTTGACTTTATTATAAACCATGTTAAATGTTTAGCTCAAGAATAGCTTCAGAAAACGATTTATTATCCATTCTACCAACTAATTAGTTATTGAAAAATAAACCTATCACAAAACCATCGATGGCAACTTTATATTTAATTCTTTTATCTATCAAAATCAATTCAGTAAAAGTTTTTCTTTACCCTGGGCAAAGCCACCCCTTGCCCACCCCAATCATAAAGTTATATAACGCACAATAAATTACAGAGTTGTGAAAGGAAGTTGGGAAAATTCCACACAGTTAGCACAGCAAAACCTCTTCCCCCTCTGGAAATTTTCCAGGACCCCCTTGCACCTCCGCCCTCTCACCATTGGAAAAAAGCAATTTCAGTTTTTCATGCTGTTCCCATTTTCTTTTTTCTTGCTGTTCTGATTACATGATTTATAAGTTATCTTCAGCATTCAGCAGAGAAAAATAACAAAACAACGACTGATGGGGGGAACAAAAAATATATAGAACAGGATATATGAACAATTTATGTTCAACGCTTTCGCAAAAGATTATTGTTTATATGCGCAAATTATGCGAACATCTCTGTGCGAAATTGTAAACACAAAAAAAAGAGGAAAAAACATATTGGCCAAAAGGAATTCGCATAAAACTGTTTAAAAGCCATCGCACCAACCCTCAACATCCGGAAAATGATTGTAAATCATGTTTAACAATTATGCGTGAAACATAAAAAAAAGAAGGCCTGAATTTAATTTGCCAAAAGAAAAGGAGGCTCGGGAAAGCGGTGATAAAGTGTATGAAATTACGAGGCATTTTCCTGGCTTTTGAATATTCTCTTTTTGGGTTCCTTTAAAAGGTGAATAATGCCACCTGTAAGCTACTTTTGTAGGAGAGAAAAAGGACCTCCTTTCGTATAAACTCCCTCCAAACTTGCGCATAAATCCTTTTAACGCTTTATTTGGTTTCTGACGCGCTTTTTTTTTAACCCCAAGCCCCAACTTCCTCTCTCTTTGAGCCGTCTTCCTTTTGGCTTTTGTTTATTTTTATTTTGTACTTTGACTCTCGCCGAATCCTGTGCGTTGTTTGTTTTTAATGTCCTCGTCCTGGGGATTCCTTTTAGCCCCCCTCTTTTTCTTCTAACGCTCCTTTGGCTCGCAACTGTCTGTGATTTAAATTTATTGGCAAAATACTTAAAGTAAATCTTTTTGTTTCACTTGGTTTTGGTGTGCAGTACGTGTCTTGGGGGTGGTGTGTGTGTCTGTTTGTTTTTAAAACAACCCTTTGACATTTTTTGGCGGGTTTTTTATACCTTCGATGTCTATTAGGGGGTTTTTCTTGCGGTTCATTTTAAAATTCTAACTGGCAGCCGCAACCGGAATCCCTGCACTGAATTTTCCCCGACGCCTTGCGGTTGCGGTAGAGTCTTTCTTGTGGCTTTTCCGGTATCACAACACCACCCACTCACCCATCCACCCACTCACCCACTTTTACCCCTTTTAGCACCAGCAAAACCCCCCACGAAAACCCTTTCCGGGAACGTTGCAGTTTATTAGCAAAGCAAAAACATGTCGCCTTCGCTGACTTGTTTTTTCCGTCGCATTTGAAAATCGTTCTCTGTTTTAATGATTTAGTTTGGGTTTTCCTTTTTTTTTTTTGGTAAGAAAACCCTCCCGATTTTCCTTTGGTTTCTGCTTTTTTGTTTGATGTCGTTTTGCGTGAGACAATTTCTTTTTTGGTGGGTTCTTTTTGGTTGGGCTAATGAAGCGACTTATGCAATGACATGGAAAATTCTGCGGTTCGCATTTTTCTCTCCGTTTGATTTTTCTCTCTCCCATTTCCCTCACTCCTTTTTTCGAGTGTTTTTCCAGCCACTACACAGCATTTGCATGACATCTAAAGAGAGTCAGAGAGTCTGGGAAAAGTGTGAGGGAGGGAGGAAAAGCGTGTAAAAAGGGAGTATGAGCTCATCAAAAGGGCAAACGCTGCCTTTTTTACGGCTTTGATAAATGGAAAGTTTGCTAATTGGCTTGTTTTAAAAAAGGGCTGCCACAGTGGATAACTGTGGCAAATGCACAAATATAACAAGTCTTTGAGCTGCAAAACTCAATTCATTAAATGCGGCTGGAGTTGCCAACTCGATTTATGTTGCAATCATAAAGAGAGAGGAGTTTTTAAATTACACAAAAGTACAAGTAGAGTTCCTGAAAAATCCTTTTTTTGCAAGGCTGCAATCTTGATCAAAGAAGCACGTTGCAGGATATTTGTAGTATTTATCGATAAACTATGTATATTATACATTATATTAACTATAAATTAATATCTTGGCTTTAAACTAAAGGAACTTGATTTTTATTTATACCAATTTTTCCCCTTCCTCAGCAAAGGCAATCAATTTATGTTGCCAAAAACTTTGTCTGTTCAACTGAACCAAAACTGAAAGCTTTATAATAATCCAAGTCAAGCCACGCCCCCCTCTAACTTTTGGCTTTCCACTGGCAATTTTCACCATTGTCCCTTCCGCCTTATACAACCAACTTTCATTCCATTTCCCCTTCTCCGCTGTGTGTGTCCTTTTTTTTTGCTCTGTGTTTTGTATGACGAAAAAGAAAAATTGTCCAGAAAAATATCTTTTGACAATTCACCGCTTTAT